AGATGAATCTTATGTTTAAAAGAAGGTCAGTGGGAGTGACATCGCCTTCCTAGTCTTATATGTAGATGACATATTGCTCATTGGAAACAGAATTCCGTTGTTAGAGTCTGTAAAGGCCTGGCTTGGAAAGTGCTTCTCAATGAAAGACTTGGGAGAGGCTCAGTACATACTAGGCATCAAGATCTATAGGGATAGATCGAAAATGATGATTGGATTGAGTCAGAGTACTTATATTGATAAGGTACTTTCTCGATTTGGCATGGAGGAGGCCAAGAGAGGTCACCTGCTAATGTCACATGGCATAACCCTAAGCAAGAAGTATTGTCCACAGACACTTGATGAGCGGGTAAGAATGAATCAGATTCCATATGCTTCGCTTATTGGATCGATCATGTATGTCATGATATGTACTAGGCCAGATGTATCGTATTCCTTGAGTGCTACGAGCCGTTACCAATCAGACCCAGGAGAGGCGCATTGGACTTCGGCCAAAAATATCCTAAAGTACCTGAAAAGGAACAAGGATAAATTCCTGGTGTATGGAGGTGTAGAGGATTTAGTTGTGGAAGGTTATACCGACGCAAGCTTCCAAACAGACAGAGACGATTTCAGATCGCAATCTGGATATGTGTTCTGTCTAAATGGAGGGGCGTTTAGTTGGAAGAGCGCAAAGCAGAGTACAACTGCAGATTTTACATTTGAAGCCGAATACTTAGCAGCTACTGAAGCAGCTAAGGAGGCTGTTTGGATTCGTAAGTTCGTTGGTGAACTTGATGTTGTACCCTCTATAAAGGGTCCAATAGCCCTCTATTGTGACAACAATGGAGCTATTGCTCAGGCCAGAGAGCCTAGGGAACATCAGAAGGTCAAACATGTCAAGCGGCGATTTCACATGATTCGAGAATGGAAATCAGAGGGTGAAATCAGAATTTGCAAAGTTGGAACGGATGACAATGTAGCCGATCCACTTACTAAACCTTTGCCTCAAGTGAAGCACAACAAGCACGTTGAGGCAATGGGAATCAAGCATGTAGGAGACACTAAGGAAAACCATTCAAGTTTTGGAGTAATATAAAATTTCATGCAATATTTTATTACTCTGTTATGCTATTTAATTGTGGTTTAGGATTAAATAATGAGTCCATTCGATTCTGAGAATATTCAAAATAGGGTATCAAGACCAGTCTTGGTAAGGAAACACCTATTAAGTGAACATTGAATATTATAATTGAAAATTATCCCTAATCAAGGTCATTTAAACGATGGACGATTAATGACCGATTGAGATTAGTGTGTAGTTTGATTTATAGCACCGTTTCATGTGCTACAAGGACATGATTGTCATAAATCATTTGCACAGGTATTGGTTTAGAACCATACTGGATCGACCTATGAGAATACTTTAAGAAATTAAAAAATTTGTCATAAGTATACTTCTCATTATGGCTATCGGAACCTATTTCCTCGACCATGAGTATTGTGAGTTCTCTTGTTTGAGTACTAGTTCGCTTTGATGTTGTCAAACGTCTGCCGTAATAGGGGATTATAACGGTAACACTCGGGCGACTAGGTCCTCTCAGTAAGCGGAGCTACATTACAAGACTGGGAATGTCCCCCTACTAAAATAGGGAAGATGTCTTTGTTGTATACAAGGCCTCTCGTAGAGCGAGACTGTAAAATGCATGGCCGTGCTCGGATGGATTTTAGAAATCATCTGTTTATTGACAGTCGGACTCGGAATCGGGAAACACTTCTGGACGTAATAAGGATGACAAAATAAATCTTACCTTATAGTTCATGAAGAGACATTAAGCGACATAGGAAAAAGGTTGTACACAAAATGCGCACTTGTCCGGAAGGACAAGTGGGAGATTGAAAGGAATGGTGTCCTTCGAACAAGTGTACTATTCCGTTAGTGGGTTCAGAATTATTAGAAAGCTAATATATTCAGTGAGGTCAAGTGATCGGAATGCCTGGGTGGTGGCCGCTTTCGATCAGTAATATTAATGAATAATTAATATTACAACTTAATCTTAACTGAACCCTTCGGGTCACACCTAAGCATTCAACAAACCGAAACGACGAATTAATTCGGAAGGAATTAATGAGTCGACCGAGTAATATTTATTTAGACGTCGGAAATTCGAGCTTAGAGCGTCGAAACCGAGCGTCGGAAGTCGAGTCGAAAAATAGTGAAAGACGAGACGAGAAATAGTAATAAATCAACAAAATACCAAAATACCCCTAGCATCGAATGCCCAAGCAAACCGAGTGCTAAGGGCGTATGGCCTAGCATGGTGGCTAGCATGCACACCAAGCCGAGCCTAGGCTGGCTGGTGCGTGCTAGCGCACCCATGCTAGCATCGCAAGGTTAGGCGCTGCCTAGTGCGTGCTAGCATGCTAGGCACAGCCTTGTGCGCGCAATGGCTAGCAAGCCATGCCGCAACAAGCTGCAGCAGCTAGCACGCTAGGCGCGCCAGCTCGCCACAGCTAGCAGCAGCATGGCTAGGCCATTGCTTGCTGCCTAGCAACGCTGGCCATGGCACAAGGCCAGCAGCAGCCCGCACAAGCATGCTGGGCTTGCTGGCCAGCAGCGCCTGGCAGCCCGCATGCGAGTGCTGGGCCTGCTGGGCTTGCTGGGCGTGGCTGCCACGGACAGCAGCACATGGCAGCCCACCTTGGCTGCCTTGGTGCCCAAGGGTGGGTGCCATGTGGCTAGTGGTCCTTGAGTGTGTGTGGAGTGAGGTGGCTGGTTATGGGAGAGGGAGTGGGGAGCAAGTTTGGTCCCCTCCTTCTCCAAGTGGTCCTCACCTAACCACTCACATGAGCTTGCCACTTGTTGGTTTATTAGTAGCTTGATTATTAATTTTATTTTAGCTTTAAAATAAAATGGAAAAATCATACTATCCCACATTGATGGGAGAGTAAATGATACTCCCATCATTTCCTATAAATACCCAAGTATGGGTATTGGGAATGATGCTTGAGTAAGAGTTGGAAAAGGCATCACAATTAGTGATAACCTTTGAACTCAATATAATTACTCGGGTTTTATTGGTCGGGTCGTGCTAACCCCAAGACATTGGACCTAGTCGGTTTTGGTGGTGCGGGTGGACTTCGTTGGAGGTCTCCGTGTGAGCGGGACTTGAAGCTTTCAAGTAAGAGCTCATTTTGGAGCGAAGCACGCGTCAAAGGTAATTAGCTTATCTTAATCTTGTGATTAATATAGTTATGTTTATGGTTTTATTTATTGCGAGTGCAGTCTTGTTTTTGGGTTTGTTTCCGCGGTGAGTCGGACTCACCAAACCCCAACAATAATCACTCATCTTGAAATGTGAAAAGAAATTGGGAAACAAAGAGTTGAACTAGGGAGAAAGAACCAAACTAAGAGTAGAATAAAACACTAAGAACGAACAGAGCAAGGAAAGGGAACTAAAATAGAGAGGATTTCTCTCACTAAGACTTTCTCTCTCTAGAGAGTTTTTTGACAAGAGTATATATCTCATTTATGTCCCATGTATATAGTTGCTAGCTACATAAAGAACTAGTAGGCTAACGCAACCTGAAATGTTGGTGGGAATTTCCGCACTGACTATGATCGATAAGTTTATTCTTGATGAAATTATAAACGCCATATAATCTGTTTCGTTACAAACAGTGGTGGAACTATGTAGGTGCACATTGGTGCACGTGCATGACCAACCCAAATGTTGGTGGGAATTTCCGCACTGACTATGATCGATAAGTTTACTCTTGATGAAATTATCCACACCATATGATCTGTTTCGTTAAAACAATGGTGGAACTATGTAGGTGCACATTGGTGCGTGCACGTGCATCACCAACCCCCCCCCCCCCAAACAAAAAGTTAAGTTAATTTTTTTTTAAAAAAAAGTATCCGTTACTTTCTTTTTATGATTAAAAACACCGGTTATATTTAATACCGAGTAATCGGTCTCTTAAGTTATTTTACCTTTTTATAATCATATTTTATTTTATTTTATTTTTTGTTTAGTATTTGTAGGTTTTTTCTTTGTATTGAATTATAGCATCCTTTTCCAATTTTTTACACCCTCCGTTATTGAATACTTGTTCCATTTCGATCTCTTGCGCGTAGTTTAAGGAGAAATTGAAAAAAGTAATAAGGAGGTAGTAGGGTAGGTGGAAAAATAAAAAATTGTGTAGTGGAGAGGATTGGAAGAGAAAATATGAAATTAATAAAATATGATCACGATGGGTCCACTAGGTGAGGAAATTTTGTTAAATATTGTAAAAGCTTTCCAAATAAGAAAATGGAGCAAGTATTAAAAAACGGCCGAAAAAGAAAAGAGGAGCAAGTATTTAAAAACGAAGGAATTATATAGTTAATATAAGATATAACGATAATATAATCCAATAACTTATTGTAAGTTCACAACACGTAAGACATGATTTAAAATGTGGTACACTATCTAACACGGCGAGCTTTTGTTTATTTATTTCTACCGTGTCTAACAAGCATGGCGAGCTTAGTTGTTTACTTTGTAAGGAGTACAAGATTATTCAATAGTCTTTGGTGAATTGTGAAGATTATTCAATACCGATTGAATAGTCCAATCATACACCATCAGGTCACTTAGAGTCAAGGTCTTTATCTCATGTACTTTTCAATTGAAAAGTATGAATTATGACATTTATACGGATTATTAACAGTCGTTTATATGGAAATATCAAATATGAAATACTTTTCAATTTTAAGGTCATTATCAATAATTTTGTCTTCCCCTAAAATAGGTTAACTCCGTATTTTTTTGTAGTGTCGAAAATTAAGGACAATAAAATGTAAACAGAACAATAAGTTTGAAATTTGTCATTCAATTACTGCATAGAAATATTCATGGAACATGAATTGATTATAGTACAGGAAAAAAAAACAGAAATTAACTACTTTTTTTTTTTGAACAAAGTAACTACTTTTATTTGAGCTCATACAAAAATGTATCATTTAATTTCTCTTTCTCAAAAAAAAAAAAAAAAAAAGTATCATTTCTTTTATAATCATGCGCAAGACACCTCTAGAGTAACAAGATGCTAGCTTCTTTGGCTTGCTATGGATTTAGGAATGCGAGGACAATCATCTCATGTAATGCTCATTAAGTTGCCCCTGCAATAAGGCACTAACATTAGTACATTACCATAAATAATAATAGTTGATTGGACAAGTTTTATATTAGTGTACCTCTTGGTTTGCAAAGGATGTTTCTTGCATGATATAGCTCGCTTATAGCTTCCCTTATCTTCATTCGATCATGTGGATGTTGACTTGAGCAAGCAACTCCAATCTTAATGACAGACACCATGCACTCCTCTCGTTTTTGAAGTACCACTAGAGTTCGTGGTCTTGTTTCATCTGCTTCATCACTTTCTTCCTCCAAAAGTGTTGAGTCAACAATCTGCAACACTTGATCTGGTAATGCTGCCTTTCCGTACATAAGGAGGTTGAAGTCGTCATTAAACATATCGTTGATGGGTCTCTTTCTTGTCATTAGCTCAAGAAGTAGAATTCCATAGCTGTAGAGATCAGCCTCAAGAGATGCTTCATTTCCCAAGCCATACTCTTAAAGACAAACAAATTTCCATCAAATAGTTTACATCCATGAATGCAAAAGAATGTTATGTTTCCTACCTACGTATGCCTATAATAATATACGGAATACTCATATTATATTTATTGTCCCCAAATATTTTGTTGAAATTTTATATAATAAATATTTTAGACATTAATTATAGAAACCATTACTATAATAAATCACATGCATGATGATTAAGTGATTCATATACCATTTAATGGAAGAAAAAATTGTGACATCATAATATTAATTACCTGGAGCAGCATAGCCAACAGTTCCCTTAATGCCAATTGAACTGCTTTGATTTAGATGCATGGGAAGATCAAGAATTTTTGCTAACCCAAAATCTGCTACACGGGCAACCATGTCATCGTCAAGCAATATGTTGCTCGGTTTTAGATCGCAGTGCACAATCTGGCTTCCACACTCATAATGAAGATAATTTATTGCATGGGCCACATCAATGGCTATATCCAACCTTTGGAGAAGGCTCATATTTCCATCTTCGTGTAGCCATCTCTCAACACTTCCATTGTGAAAGTTTAACTGGTTAATACAAGAGGGGGGGTGAATTGTATTTGAGATGAAATCTAAAAACTTTTGCGAAATTTAACTAAATGAAATAATGACGAGAGAAGATATAGGCTTTTCTAAATTTCCACTATGTAATTAAACTCTTTACAACTGAAGATTCAAACCCGTTAACAAGTTCCACAAATTAGGAACTTGTTCCCAACTCTCACAGAAGCCTTCAGCAGCGAAGCTTCCTTGACCTCACCTTACACAAACTCACAATCCCAAACCCCAAAGTGCTTCAATACAATCCGTAATTACAAATACCTATTACACTCAAGAATATATGAAGGAAAATAACTCTCTTTATGTTATTAGGTTGCTACTGGAATTTTTATTGCTCAAGAGTTATGTTTTGCTGAGATAGTTTGCATGAGTATTTATAGAGAAGGCTTAGTCATTAACCTCCACTATAATCACGTCCACATGCCAACACCCCACTAACAACTTGTGGAGTTATCTTGACAGATGGTGATCATGAAGGAGGTTTCCTAGCCTTATCTCACTAATCCACTATCTCAACAACTTGATAAACATTAGCTTTGATAAAACCGTATAATCAGAGATTTTCACAACAAAGAAAACTGCTTGTTAACTTTATCAAAAGTTTGTTTAAAAAGATTTTATTTTCAAAAGGATTTTATTTGAAAAGATAAATTAATTATTTATATTAAAACAACTAGATAATTATCTTAGATAATTATCTTTATTCGAAATTAGATGACTAGATAAAACTTTTATAAATTATCTTTTTCCTTAAGAAACTAACTTTTATTCCAGTAGTCTTTTTAATAATATAAGTCATTGAGTTCCTTTCCGACTTTATATTATTGAGTGCTCACAATTAAAACTAGAACGTGAGATTTGCACGAGGCTTTTTAGAGAATGCTACTCCGCATCCAAGTTCCTACTCCGGAACGAACTTTGCTTGAACCCTTTATTCACCAAAGACTCAAAACGTTCATTAGTCGAGTTTGTCAATTTGTCCATCAAAACCAAAAGGCTCAACAAATTCCCCCTTTTTGATGATGACAAACATTGACAAACTTAGGTAAATAAAATCATCCAGGCATGCAACAAAAATTTAAAGCAAGACATAAAAACAAAAAAAAACAAACAGAGTAATTAAAGAACTTAGAAAAATACTAAAAAGTATTTTTTTTTTTTTAAAAAAAAAACTGAGCAAAAGAAAAATTAACAAAGACTTTAAAAACTTAGATTACTAGGACTTTATTGAGTTAACTGAACTTAGCAAAAGTTTGTACCTTCGATGTGTGAGTTCCTTGGTAAACACCTTAGCCGCCATGAAGTTTGTCTTTTCCCCCTTTTGGCATTATCAAAAGATTGAAAAAACATTTTGCTATACTCCCAGTAGACTACGTAGGGAATAGTGAGCTCAAATAATGCAAGGCAAAAATAAGTTAGGTACTAAATTATCAGCAAACACACACAATCATATGAAAAATACGAGCCAAGTTCCCATAGACGAAAATCAAAAGCAGGAAAGAGTAGCAAGAGTTAAGAATTACAAACTGAAATCCAAATGAAACAAGCAAAAGCAAAAGAAATTAAAAGTGACAAGTTCGAAATTGCAATTATGGGGAATAGGTAGGTTCATCAGCTGGGTTTATTGGGTCATTAGAAGCTTCCTCCACTTCTTCAAAAGCCAGCCTGTTAATCGTCTCCAATATCTCCTGAGTGCTGTGCAGTATGTTCTTCTCAGCAACATCAACCTTGTTCTCCATCCCAGTAAAATTAGTTGCCTGAGTGTCTGCCACAGCCTGCACTTGGCGTTGAAGAGAAGTCAGCTGCTTTGCCATTTCCTCCAGCTTTGTGCTCACTATCTTTGTCAGCTGCTCCAGTACTGCTTTCACCTGTTGAATATCAAAAATAGAAGCATTTGTTCCAGAGAAGGCAGCAAACCCTGTAGGCTGTGATGTAGGAAAAGCTGGGGAGGGAGAGGGAGAAGTCTGTTTTGGAGGTGAAACAGGAGTGGAAGAGGGTTTAGCTTGTTTTGGGGGGGAGTCATGAACAGAAGATGGCTCAGAAGCAAAAGGAACTTGTGTAGGGGTAAAATCAGGGTCAGAGTGATCTGAAGAACTAATGTCTTCAATAATAACAGGCTTTAGAGTAGAAATAGTAGGTTTGACAATTTTCCTCTTACTCCTCCTGAGTTCCCCTTTAAAAGGGAGGTCAAGACTCTCACTTTCTGAACTAGATTCCCCCTCACTCTGAGTCTCCTCTTCTTTCTCAGGTTCTGCTTCCTGTGTTTCCCCCTCAGAAATTTCTTCCTCCTCTTTGTCTTCCTCTCCTTTTTCTTTACTTTCTTCTTTTTCAGATTCACTTTTCTCCTCTTCTGACTCACTTGTATCTCCCTCTACAACCTGTGTTTTCCCTTTTCCACTATTTTTCTCCTCTCCTCCTCTAGGCAAGAAAGTAATTATCCCACTCTCAAGTTTAAGGCTCAGGCGAAGCAAAGATTGCTCCGAAAGAATGTTCTCAGGTTTAATATAAGTGGGTGACTCACTTTCAACATCAATCCCAAAAGACTTAAACAACACAGTAAGGAGAGATCCATATGGAATAGTAGTTTTAGCAGCATAGAAAACCAAATGTTCAATCATTAGTTTTGGAAAGTTTATTTTTATTTTCCGAGCAAGAAAAAAGATGATGGTTGCATCTAGTAAGGATATTGTGCTTCGTTTTTGCAAACGAGGAACAATGCCTCTCCATGTGAAATTGAACAGTAATTTGTGAAGAGGAGTGAGTATGTTATGATGTGAAGTCTTGCTTTTCGGGTTTCCACCTATAAATTTGATTATTCTATTCTCATCATAATGCCCAATTTGCACAATTTGTTTGTGTTTTAGGTACGAACTATAGCCTGAGGTGGGGACTTGAAACAAGTTCCCTAAATATGCAACATCAAAATGAATGTGAGTATCTTTGACTGTAGCCGTGCATACACCATTGTTGTGTTTGAAAGTATTTTTAAATTCAAACAGAAGCTTAGGTAAATTGGATAGTGAGAGCAATTTTGGAACAAATGCACCCATTCTTGATAATCAATTAAGGAGATGAATTCGGAGAACTTTCTTGCCGTACACCAGTCATAATTGATGTGATAGCCGTGAGTGTAGTTCCAAGATGGAAACTTTTGAGAGCTTCGCCTCTTTCTGTCGCCTCCTTTCACGGTTGTAGCCTTTCTCTTTGTTGGAGCTTGTGGGTGAACGACGGCAAGTGCGACTGGTTCAGGGGAGCCGCCAGCAGAGGAAGGTTTGGGAGGAGGTATTCGGGTTTTTGGTGGTTTCGGTGTTGAGTTTAGGTTGGTTTTCATGGTTATGAAGGTGAGTTGAAAGGAAGGAGAAGATGAATAGTGTGAATAGGAAGGAGAGAGAGTGAGGCCGGTTTTTATGAGGGTGTATGGAGAAGTTAATTTGATGTGATTGGTGAGGGTGGAGTGTTAAAGAAAAAGAGTTTAATTGGAAAGGGTGAGAAAAAGTGACGGTTTATATGATGAGGTAGTAGAGTAGTTTTAGAGGTAGTAGGATTTTAATAGGGTAGATTAATTGCAATAGTCAAACTTAACACAATAAAAGATAAACTTTTAAAAGATAAGAAATATACGGAAAGTAAGGAGTAGTGAATATACTAGCTCCTTATCTTACGAAAAAAAAAATCTTTTTGTATTTTTGAATTATATGAGGAATAGAAAAAGAATTGAACATAGAAAAAAATAAGGAAGGAAAAAGATAAGAATAAAAAGATAAAAAAAAATAAGGAAGGAAAAAAAAGAATAACAAGAAGGAAAACAGAAAAAAAAATTAAAAAAGATAGATAAGTGCAAATTGATCGTAAATTATGATGATAATTTACGTGATCATAATACAGAGAATAAAGAATGATGAAAAGGGAACTTGAAACAACATGGCTCAATATTTTTAACATATTAAAAGTATGTATAAGTGACTTTTCAATACTTCACAAATCTTTCCCCTGGGTAATTTCAGCTGTGTTATGCACACAAGATTGAGCATAGCATTGTTAGTTACATCCGATTTTACCTTAGGGGTTCCAAACAAAAATCACTTGAGCCGTAGCATCCCCAATTCCACACGCATCTTTTCAAACTTGTCTCTGCTTAAAGGCTTAGTTAATATATCAGCAATTTGACATTCAGTAGAAATAAAATCTAGCTTAATTAAGCCCTTTTCAACATTATCTTTCAAAAAGTGATGCCTTACATGTATATGCTTAACTTTAGAGTGTTGTACTGGATCTTTAGAGATGCAAATGGCACTTGTGTTATCACAATGAATAGGAACGCACTCTAAAATAATGCCATAGTCACGCAACTGTTGTTTTATCCATAGCAATTGAGAGCAACATGCAGCAGCAGCCACATATTCTGCTTCGGCAGTGGATAGAGCAACAGTATTTTGTTTCTTGGAACTCCAAGAAACCATGCAAGAGCCTAAGAATTGGACCATACCTGACGTGCTTTTACGATTTACTAAATCTCCTGCATAGTCAGCATCAGCATATCCTCTTAGGTCAAACGAGTCACTTTTTGGATAGAACAGACACAAGTCTTCCGTCCCTTTTAAGTATCGTAGAATCCTTTTGACGGCTGTTAGATGCGATTCCTTTGGATCCGATTGAAATCTTGCGCAAAGACCTACACTAAACGAAATGTCAGGTCTGCTAGCAGTTAAATATAACAAGGAACCAATCATACCTCTCTATTTTGTTTGGTCCACACGAGTTCCCTTGGGGTCTTGGTCCAACCTTGTGGTTGTTCCCATGGGAGTGTGGTTTATCTTTGTGCTTTCCATACTGTATTTTTTCAATAACTCCTTCACATATTTCTGCTGATGGATCATTATTCCTTCTTTAGTTTGCTTAATTTGAAGCCCAAGGAAGAAGTTGAGTTCCCCCATCATGCTCATCTCAAACTCACTGCACATTAAATC